CCGCCGCCGCCTGAGCCCCGGACGGACGACTGCGCCTGCCCCGCCGGCACCCGGGGTCTCCCGCGGCGGCCTGGCCCCAGCCCGTCGCCTCTACCGCCCCGGCGCGGCACCTTCCTCGCCGGGACGCCCCGTGCCGCTCCCGGCATAGCCGCGGCTCCCGGGCTCAGCCACACGGAGGGACACTCACCCCGGAGGCTCCTCCCGCCGCTGCTGCCGCCCCTGGGACCGCGGCCGTCGCCCCCGCCGCCGCCGCCAGCACCGCCGTCCGCACCGGCGTCAGCACCCCCAGCCATCCTCCTCCTGCCGCCGCCGCCCTCTCCGCTCCTGTCAGTGGCTCAGGCTCCGGGGCTGCTCCAGGTTCCCCTCGGCGCCATTTTGACTCCTAAAGGGAGCAGGAGGGGCTCAGCTCGACGCGGCCCTGAAACGCCTGCGCGGCGCTGCGGAGCCGACCCGAGCCCCCGCCCGCCCCCGCCGTCGCCGCGCCCGGGGTCACGTGGGCCGGCGGCGCGCGCGCCGGGCCAGATCCGGGAGACGAGTTCGCGGGAGACGGTTACTGTCGGAGCCAGGTGCGCGCGCATCATTCTGGCTCCACCTGGGGGCTGGGCGCTGGGCTGTCGGAGTTGGAAGTTGATTGCAGCGTCCTGCTTACTTCAGGGAATTGTGGCAAATCGGTAAATGTGTTCGAATGGAATATAGCAACTACCTTACTAAACCACTAGTTCCACCAATTCATTTCTTCATTCGGCCGTCGGCATCCTGATGGATCGCGCACACAGTGAATCATTCGCAAAAAACGACCACTTCCGCTGTAAAGTTAGTGTTGTTATTTTGGGGGCTTCGTGGCAGTTTATTTTAAGCCCTATCTGCGTGGTATTTTTACACCACCTTGCCTTTTGTAGGTTTAAAAAAAAAATCTTAAAGACACCGAAAAGTTTTCCTCACCAAGCTACCCCATAAACGACAAGAGAATCACTGATGAAAGCACGCGATCTCCCTGTGGTAGAGCGAAATAGTTCTTCCCTACATGCTCTTGTCTGGGAATTTGCAACAATTTCAGCGATATAAAAGACACTTTATGGAGAATCTTATAGTTCTCAAAATTCCATGAAATAGATGGCTTCGTTTGAACACCGAGACTACCCTTTGAGGTAGTCAGGACGAATATTATTATTCAGGGGTTACTATTACAGCTAAGGAAACAGTCTCAGAAATAAGCCCAAGGGCACACAGACAGCATTAGTAGTAGGCAAGCCAAGACTAAAACCCGACCCTTGTTACCAGGCACATTGCTCCTCACAGTTCTCAAATAGGCTTTCGTAATATCTGAGGTATTTGTCTTCTGGGAATTTATTTAAACCCTTCTTTAAAGTATTTGCATTTTCAATCTCTTTGAGAAACAAGTTTTCTAAAGTCACACGAGTCTTTCTGTTGTTCTCCAACCACCTCCAAGCGTCAAAGGACAGGGATAATTTTCAATTTGGTGATGTGTTTTTAACCATCTCTTT